GTACGATACGTATTATCTCATAATCCCCCGGTCAAGCACGAATAAATTTAGTACCAGTAATCATTCATACCATCTGCCTGTTTCGCTTTGTCCAATGGTGTTGTTTAATACCCGTGAGAAGTTTTCTTTAATCAATTTATCTATCTACGGCGTTTTCAAAAGCATCCTCAGAGACAACCTTTGGATTGTTTCCAACATGTTTACATGTTTCTATTGTAGCCACCAACTGATGTCACAACCATGCCTACCAAATATCGTAGCTTATAATCCCACGGTCAAGCAAGAATAAATTTAGTACCAGTAATCATTCATACCACCTGCCTGTTTCGTCTAGTCGAATGAGGTTATTAGATATCCATGATATAACTACGTAGTAAAAATGAAGAAATAGCAACGTTATTATATAAGATAACAAAAATTTACAATGGCATCTTTCGAACGTATCGATAGCACTACGTGGAATACCTGTGATTTGGATTTGTCGCATCAGCTAAGAACCAAATTTTACCGATGTGTTCAATTTGCCAAAACACTCTTTCAAATGAAGTATGCGACCAAGCAAACTGAGAAATAATTCGTAAAGTGGAAAGTCTGTGCATTTTTTCAGAAAGCTCCGGAATAGTTTGGAAAACAGACCAACTTTAAAGACATTTCTGACAGAGTGAAAAGTGGCGAATGGACTTACGGCGTCTTATAGAATCAGTAAGTCGTGTGCTAAAAGTTGCAGTCCAGCTAATGTTGATGAGAATATTATTTTGTCTTCAACATCAGTAACACTATCTGACCTGAAGAATAGGCATCTATAAGTAGTTTAAGACATTCGGCTCGGCAACTCGACTGTATCTAGGCTAATGGATGAGATGGCTCAGGACATAGAAAGTACCATATTTACTTAAATACTGCCCAGCAACTTTTCGTTACTGTCAGATGAACCAACTTTATTTAAAAACGGCACTTATCTCGCGGCATATGTCCGATTCTTCAATGTTAATGAATTAATGGAAGAGATGGTGGTTACCAGGAGAATTGAGGTAGTCAATAGCTATCTGACTGAAAACTCCATTCCGATACAGTACCTAGTTGTATGTGCAACAGATGGTGCTGCCGCAATGGTCGGAAGATGTAATGAATTTATTGCCCATCTAGAAAATATTCTCTCTGCTGTTCATACACTTCTCTGCGTGATTCACCGAGAGCACCTAGTGGCTAAGAACTTGGGAGGGTCTTAAATGATTGACTGTCAACTGTTATAATGGTAATCAACAATTGCAAATCGCACCCTCTTCAAACACATTTTATCCAGCAGATGTGTGAGGAGAACAGTGAAGATTTCTAGGTTCTAATGTTGCATAGAGAAGTTAGATGGCCGCCTAAGGGCAACTGTCTCCGCCGTTTTGTTGCACTCTGGGTCCCCGTCATTACAGTTCTATCTGGGACTGAGTATGAAAAAAATGTTAACAACTAAATCAGACATGTTTTGCCTGGCTACTATTTTTGAAAAACCACTTATTAAATAAAACTGCAAGTTGAGTAATCTAATCTTGAGCAAAGAATCCATTAGCGCTTTTCTTGAAAAGTTAGAAGTGTATGTTCAACACATCGGACTTCAGGAATTTCCACAGTTCCAAATTCGCGCTACAGTCACGGAGGAGCTGAAGGATGAGACTTGATTGTTTATGCCAGCCTTTTACAACAACTCCGAAAAGAAATGACAGATGGTTTTCATGGCTTGATTGATATGGAAATAATTATTTGGCTTTTAAATCCATTTGATACACAGTCCTGCGATGTTGGAGCTGAAACCCAGGAAAGTCTCTTACAGCTTCGAAATGGCACACTAACAAGATCCAAATTCACGCAATATAAAAGTGCTTTTTGGATAAAGGTTCATGTCCCTAACCGATATCCCAGACTGTTGTAAATAGCTGAAATAAGCTTCATCGCTTTTCCATCCATACACGGTTGAATGTGAAGTTAGCAGAGTGGTTTCTCTAATAACATGCAGAAACAGATTGGAAGTCACAGCAAGAGGAGATCTTCGACTCTCGTTGTCAAGTGTGGAGCCGGGTATAAGCAAGCTTGCTCACGGACATCAGGCTCAATATTCGCATCAATATCTCGACAAATACCTTGTCACGAAGTTATTACACTTTCGAATTCTTGACTTGCCTTATGGTTAAAAGGCAACAATAATTAAGTACGATTTTAAAATGCTAATGATGACTTTTGTGTAATTACTAGCAAGTTGCTTGATGTTGCTGCACAAGGAAGGTTATCTTGGGGCTGTGAAAGTTAAAAAAAGCTTTATTAGGGAAAGAGCAGTAATATCAAATTAAAAGTTTAGTCATCATAATAGAGGATACCAATACGACCACTGGAGTTCACAGGTCTACGTCTCTTAGGCTTTGCGTTGTGCGGATCAAGGCTGATCTAAGGTAGGGGATCATGAGAAGTGGAAAGGTTCAGAAGAGGACCACGGCTGAATAAAGGTGGATGACGTCATCGTACGCCGGCGTTACATGAGCGAAGTACGCGTGATGCGTGTATTGTAGGGAGCTGAATGTGGCACTGATCACAAGTTGATGCGGACCAAATTGGACATATATTGTCGTAAACGTATGTATTGCTCAACTGCCGTAAACCGGCACAAAGTTAACCTTCATTTCCTAAGATAATGCTGAGAAGTGGAAGGACTTGGAGAAGGCGAGGGCTGCCCACCTTGGCGATGTCGTGTCTAGTGCCACATTGAGTGACCTGTGGCACCATCTCCGTCAGCAGGTGACGGTTGCTGCCGTAGAAACGATCGGGCGCAAAATGTAATCTGCCTAATTGGCTTAATGGCAACAATAAGACCATTGACGCATTGGTATCGGAGAAGAATGCAGCTTTCGCTGCGCATGTGGATGACCCTGTTGATGCAGATAAGAATCATTTGCGCAAAGTTCAACTGCGATTGACTCGAGAGCTCCGTAACGTTAAGTATGCTTGGTGGACAGAAAAGCCGAAGCAGGTAAAGTGATAAGCTGGAGGCAGTGAACACAAAGAATTCTTTGACTACTTGAAGGAGATATATGGACCGAGGTTGCAGCCGCTGAGGACGCTGGTGGATGCTACTTCAGGCGCTGTCTACACACAGACTGCTGACATAGTGTAGAGTTGGCGAACACACTTTGACTAGCTCTTGAAGAACCTTTCAGAGGTTGACCGGGCTATATTGTAAGGGCTGCAACAGAAGGAGACAGATGCGTCCTGCCGACATGCAGAGCCCTTGCTCAGCCGCGGCATGGCATGTGCGCCGGAGCTGAGGGGATACCGTTTGAAGTGTTGAAACACGTTGGACCCGCTCTGATGCATACGTTGCATCACTTGGTGCAACACGTTTGGTCTGAATAACGTGTGCCATCCGAGTTGAAAGATGCCCTCGTGCTACCACCGTACAAGGGCAAAGGAAGCAAGCAATGTCCCAAGAATCATGGTGGTATCAACATGTTGAGTTGTGCGGAGAAGGTACTCGCACCAATACTGCTCAACCGCCTCGGCAGTCAGGTTGTGGAACCGAAGATGGCAGAAAAGCAACGTGGAGTGCGTTCGGGTCGCAGCACCATCTATATGGTCTTTGTGGCTCGTCATTTGTAGGAGAAGTGTCCAGAGTGACACCAACCATTGTACTCACTGTTTGTTGATTTCACAAACGCATTTGATACGGTGAACCGGGAGGCATTGTGGCTTGTGTTGGGTAAGTTTGGCTCTCCGTGTACGTTTGTAAGGTTACTTTAATGTCTGCACAGTGGTATGCGGGCGAGGTTGCAGCTGAGTGGAGATACCTCGGATGAATTTGCACTTGTATCTGGTGCGAAGCAAGACTGTGTCTTAGTTCCTGCCCTGTTTAATACTTCTCTTCATATCATGATGTATGTGTTTTATTCGTCTTGTGCTTACGGTGTTCGTGTGGAGCACCGTATTGATGGTGGGTTGCTGAACATCCGTCGTTTCGGTGCGAGAACTCTAGTCTGTGTGACAACTATCCGTACACTGCTGTTCGTTGACGACCGTTCGTTGTTTGCGCATAGCGCTGATGGGTTGTAGCACATGATTATTGCTCTGGCTTCGACAGCGGCCAAATTCGGGCTCACTATCAACACAAGCAAAACTGTCTGTCTCTTTCAGCCTTCACCGCAGGTGAAATCTACAATGGTGCCGCGAACCAGCATTGGCGATAGCGTATTGGAAACCTCCTCCCGCTTTTTCTACCTTGGGAGTGTGATCTCGACTGACCAGCAGGTACACACTAAAATCTGGAGACTGAAAAAACGTTCGTCGGACAGTTGTTGCTCAGAGGACCGAAGACCGAATGAACCCTTAACAAGGTATTCAAGAATGCGCCACCTTTCGAGCACTGCTAATAATCTGCTACTCCCAGCAGTGATTCAATGATAATAATTCCTTGATTAACAGAAGCAATGCATGGCGATGCGGGTCAAATAAGGAATAGTCGCATAGTTCTGTGTCGTTCATGGAGTAATTTAGTTTGCGTTTTGATAACTCAGCACAGCGTCATTCCAGACGATCATAAAACCTGTATTGTTTCATTGCTACGCAACTGCAACAGTAGGCATGATTTGCTGCACTAAGTGTGTTTAAACTAGTAGACTTATGTAATCCAACAAAGTTTTAGTGGCTCCCAAGGCCCCAATACTGGTGATATGGTTTATCTTTCGGATGGGCGTGTACAAATAACGGCTGCTTAGATACCGGAGGTGGGAGCAAACGGAATGCGTTGATGGATGACGGGACATTGATTGTATCGCAAAAGTGCACAACGCTTGGCTTAAACAGCGAGGCTGATGAGTAACCTTTCTGAATGATGAACAGCGATAATGTGGTAACAAAGCGTCTAAGTATGTCTTTTCATAGGGTCTGAGTGGCAGCTATTAGGCTGATCCACTGAATCCAATACATAAACAAAGACAATGCTTTTTAAAGCTTACATAAATACCCACCTTTCGCGCCTCAATTTCTTCCTGCGCACAGAGCAGAGAGTCGATTATCGCTCGCTTCATTGAGGGCTCGATCTGTTGCTGCCATAGTTCGCCGTGACCTTCCTTCCTGTCGAAAAATGCATGAGGATACGTAGACCTAGTACCAGTCGACAACTTTAGTCTCGGTATTTAGGCGGCGAGGGCTGGAAGCGTAACAATGATCATTGAATATTTGCAACGGTTGGTGGTCACTGATCATCAACCTCCAAGAATGTGGGTATAACGGATTGGGTTCGAATGCTAGGCTACTGAGGCCTGTGCGATCGGGTGGTCCAGTTAGAACAATAGGAAACAATGTAACTACCATACCATTGAATCTCAATGAATGAACTGCGATTAATGATAGGAGGGTAACAAGCATCCTAGCCACTAGATGTACTACAAAGAGCACTGTTAGGGAAGAATAATCCCACACTCGATAATTGATACTAGACGGAAGATGTAGCCCATGGCTGAACCGCGAACAAAAGGAACATTACCATATGTTGGCGAGAGTACTTTTACTAATGCAAAGTCGGTGTAGCAACTGGGTTTAATAACCGCAGTTTTGTAATAGGATTATTCTGATCAAGTAGGTTAAGGGGTTGGCCAAACGAGACTGTCCATTGGACTCTACATAGGCATAGCATAGACGTTATGTGAGTGTAATTTTTGAGTAATAGGTTGGCTTTTGTGGCAGAAGTTACTCCAGTGTAGCTCAAACGAGCTTTTTGTGGGAACAGGTTGCTTACACACATGACCTGCCATTGTATGCAAGACCTCCATCGCCTGGGTGGAAGAATAGGGTAGAGGTTTTCTGCTCTTCACTGAAGAAACCCGCAAAGTTGACTGTTCCAGTGGCATTTCTGGGTGTGTTGAGTGGAGTTAGTTCTGAATTCCATTTCCGTTGCCCTTGATTTCACTACTTCCTATGATCTGTTTTGTCACGGTGGCAATAGGAAAAATCCGATTGTCTATGTTGTCATTGAATCTAAGCGATACATGCGATTCCGCTATTTTTCCATTGATGGCATTCCATTTATTCCGTAACCGAGCAAAAGATGGTGCAGCAGCAGTGTTCTTAAATGTTAATCTGTTCCGTCGGACATGCTAGTTGATTCCAGTAAAACCCGAATCGTCCAAGAGAGCTGGACCCAGATAGCCGGTTGAAACAGTCGTAGAGGTAGAGACACAAGAAGAAAAGGAATTTCAGTTAACCAACCGTTATCTATGCGGTGAAGCGTGGTAGGTCTAATTACTTTGCACGATATCGCCACGATGCTAGTTTCCATTGAAAATGAGCAAAATGTAGACGATAAAGGTCAGTAACAAAGAATGGAAAATACAATACCAACCAACGATTGGAAACCAGGGTTAAACTGCGGAACCTGACATATGGGTGCATCATATCTGATAGGGCGTCATATGCAGACAACAATCCTCAAGTTAGGAAGTACAGCGAAAATATGGTCGTTTTCCGGCCATGACAGCAGGAGAGAGGTAGCGAAGGACGTAACCAAGCAAACATCGGCTACTTAAGTTTGAACCATTACCCAACGAGGTACCAGATGGTTTTTTGTTATGCCCTAACCGGTGAATTTCAGGCTTTTGCACCAAGTAACACTCCAGACTGAGAAACGCATCGCAGATATTAGTTGGTTCACCCAACCAGTACTACAATGCTTCCAGTGCACACCGGTCACTTCTATGATTCTTACGCTGGCAATGGTCGCAGTTATTAGTTAAAATAAATCTGACTTGCTCGCACTGTTTGGAATGGTATAATCCGAAATGTGCATACGTGTCCCAACAACAGGTACGAGAGCGAACTATCTCTCAAGATGCACTTTGGTTCTGTACTGGGTGCTCACCATTCCACTCGTTAAGTGCCTGCTTAACCTAGTTCAGGAGTGTGAGCGGTTAACCGCAGGAGCCTAGCAGAGGAAAAAAGGTTAAGATTACTTTAATGGAAGAGAGTATGCACCACGGAAGCGTAGCGCCTTCTAAGCAACGGAATGTTGCACAATCCGCTTCCCCTAAACCGCAATTAGCCACGTCCTCATCTCTGTTGTGTTCTGCAACTTTGGTGGAACACCGGGAGAGAATTGACCGTATCTACGAGAGTCGAACAATACTCATGGCAGCAAACATCAGGAACCACTCGACACGTATGGTTAAGCAAATTCCACTAGACCTGACATCTAGCATTAACAAGGATGAAGTAGCCGAACACCAAGTCTCGGTATCTGCAGCTCAAATGTCTCTGGTCGCGACAATGCCTCCGGAACATCAGTTACATATGTAGAAATTGCTGAAAAGGTAAGCCGGGAGGTCACCATTGCGGTCTCTACGGTTGTAAACATCATTAATGCGAATAGAGAGACAAACAGTAAACAATCAACACTTGTCAGCAGGTCAGGACAAACGAGTACCATACCTTGTAGATCAACGAAAAAGAGATCCAAAAATAATGCCCGGACTGTTGTATGCTCAAATTCCATGAATCTACCGCCTTCACATTGTGGGGTAGGTTGTCGGACGACCCAGACCAGTGTAACTCACTGTGCGTGCTGATGAGTGCCAAAGCCAAGCCCATAAACCAATTACGAATTACTCGTCATCCGAACTCGCCACACTATGGTAAACCCTGACTTATTTGAGTAACAATAGAATCCTCCACCGACGTAGAAAAAGTTTTGCTCTCCGCAAGCGCGTTACAACACGTACCCTGTGGGATACGCATCCATCCTGATGTCGCTTGGTGCGCGCGACTATCAAAAAGAAACACCGAAGAGGGACACAGCAAACAAGACTGCATAAACACAATCTTTCTACCTGGCGTGCTAGAACATACTTCTAACGATGTTCAAGAGAACGGAAAGAACAAGTTAGAACAGTGGCGGTTTATTTTTGAAACACTTCCTTAAGATAATATTGTGGCGTTATCGCTCACCAGGATAACTCTCTCACCAAATTATAGAGGATGCGGCCCTAGAGCTGCAAAACTTGTGGTTCAGTCAGAGCAACAAGCAACGGATGTTTTGGATCGATGGCACATCAATCGGAAAAGTCTTCTTTCTGAACTTCCGTTAAACGTCACAGAAGCTTTGCATAGTATAAATATTAAAGCACCTGAAACAGCAAGTAAACCGACGAATGTACAGAAGCGTAACTTGACTGCTGCTTCCCTTGACACTGATGTAGGTCTTAATGAATCTTGGGACGCACCTTGGCCGCTTGAAGTTTCAGACGAGGCATCATTAGCCCATAAATAACGAGTGACTGCCGACCTTCCATTGGTCGGCATTCTCCCGCACTTGACCTCTTTAGCCCTCTGTGGGCTCCTAGAGACCGAGAAACTGTCTGCTTGTATATGAATGCTCAAGGACTTTTTAATAAACTAGCCGAACTGAAAGATCGTCAAGCTTCCGGGTCCTATGATGACCTTGGTATCACCGAGACGTGGTTGCACACGAGAATGACGGACGCTGAAGTTTCGCTACCGGGCATGTCGCTGATCCAGAATGATAGGCTCACCAAAAGGAGGAGGGGTAATCCTGTATTACCTGATCGACTTACAGTGCGAAACCGTAGATGATTCAGAATCGCAGTTCCCCGACTCTCTGGTGGCGCTCACAGTTAAAAAACAGAGACGCTTACCTCGTTGTCTTGGTGTACCGCCCTCTGACTCTACACCCGAACCCGACTGCTACCTAGCAGCTGCTTTAAGATTCGATTGACAGTGAATGCACGTTCACATACTTATCAGGGGTGATTTCAAAGTACATTATGTAGAAACTCCTGCTACGATCGGAGAACAATCCATAGCCGATCTACAGGATCTCGTCAACACTGCCCCCCTTTACAATTACATCACTTTGTCCACTCGGTTCAGAACTGGTAACAGGCCATCTGTGCTGGATTTTGTGCTTACCAACGAGGAGCATATGATTGATGTGTTGGTTTTAGACTGCCCGTTAGGTTGCAGTGATCACGCAGTCATCAGTTTTAACTTCGTCTGCTATGCGGAATATCGGAATGCGAACAATGAGACTGTGCGAACCATCACAAGGTACGACCGACTCGCCCAGCTAGTCCGCGCCACAACTTGGTCTTTCCTCGAAGAAGAACCCCCGGAAGTCGCCTGGCTCGAGTTCGTCGACAACTTCAGTCAACTGTTTGCAGTGGCTTCAGAGATAAGAGTTTGCAGTAAGTGTAACTCAGTTTCCTTCGTTAGGAGCAGAACGCGAAAATGGATGACAATACGCAATGCAGCATGGCGGGTGTACAGAGAAGCTCCAGCACCAGAAAATTGGTACAGCTAAGTAGTCCAAGGTAACCACTGTACTCAACTGCTAAGCGAAGACAAAGCCGCTTATCAGCAGAATATCTCAAAAACTTTCAGTGCTAACCACAAACTGTTGTACATGCATGTGAATAGCCTACAAACGGTAAAGCAAGGATTTCCTCCACTCACAACAGCCGATGGCCCAACAAGAACGGCAGTGGAAGCAGCAAACACGCTGCGGATGCAGAGGGTTTTGCCATCAAACGAACTTCCAACTCTGTCATCTCCTAGCCAGGACTAATTCACATCACTTTTACCGCGGAGGCTGTAGTGCAAAAGCTGACGTCTCTACGCAAACACAGTAGCCTGGTGCCGACACCATTCGTCCATAGGCACTGGAAGCAGCAGCCAGCTAACTGGCAGGGCGTTTTGCTCAGTTTTTCCAGCGCTACATAGACCAGAAACAAGTTCCAGCTATGTGGAAGCTTGGAATAATAACCCCGATTTACAAAGGTGGAAGCGGAACTGATCCCTCCAATTACCGCCCAGTATTCCTTTATCCTATACTCTCCAAGTTCATGGAATCCCTAGTTGCCGATGCATTGGTGTACTATCTAGAAAACTGCAACCTCATCACGCCTGAGCAGCACAGTTTCCGGCGACAGCGGTCATATACAACGAATATACTAATTGCACGCAGTATTTGGACCGAGTCACCTGACGCTGGAGAAGGCATTGATGTGATCAGCCTGGATTTTTCGAAGCCTTTCGATTGTCTAGACCATCAGATACTACTCCTCAAGCTCCAGCATTTCGGGATCATTGACCCTCTTTTAAGCTGGATTGCCAACTTTCTACATCAACGGTAACTAGTGGTCAGAGCTCGGAGCACTTTATCGGACCCCATAGAAATCGAGTGTGGTGTGTTGCAAGGCTCAATTCTAGGTGCACGTTTGTTTTTGGTGTTTAGTAATGACCTGGCACAGGGAATCGCTTCAAAATCCCTAATGTTTGCCGACGATATCAAGATTTGGTGCAGGATTCATGTGAACGCCAACCAGCATCTGCTTCAGAGTGACCTAGATACGGTGTATCAATGGTCAACCCAAAACTTAATGCATTTCAACGTTAGTAACTGCAAGGTGCTTTCCATCCGACATCAGAGCAGCTACTCATACCGGCTCGGAATGAATTTACTACAACGATCAGCTGTCGAATATGACTTGGGTGTCCTGGTTCAAGATGATTTGGGTTGCTCAAAGCAATCCGAAAAGGCCTCGAAGACTGGGAACCAACACGACGGGTTGTTGCGACGAGTGTTTGGACAAATAAACAGCCCCATATTTCGACAAATGCTCAGTGCGTATGTTCTCTCCCATGTCGAATTCGCAATTCAAGCCTGGCATCCGTGGCTGAAACACGACCTTAATACACTGGAGCAGCCACAACGCCGGGCATCTAAGGACATAATTGGAATGCGTAATCTTTCATACCAGGAGAGGCTGCGATGATTGGGGGTATTCAGTGGAAGCTATCGCAGACGACGAGGCGACCTGATTATGGCATACTTGATTCTGAGAGACCTATCTCATGTGTGCCGCCCTTTACTTCAACTCAGCAGCAATACAAACATGAGGGGCCACTTATGGAAACTCACTGTATAGTATAGCCGCCTGGAGTGCCGCAGAAATTTCTTTTCCATTCGTGTCTGTTACCCGTGAAATGCTCTCCCAGAATCGGTCGTCTCTGCACCGACACTAACAGTATTCAAAAGATGGTTGAATGACGCACTCATCCACTTACACTTTGTCACTTAGCGCTGTCTCCATCCGACACCTGGAGTTAACCATGGAATTATTTGATGTTTACTGTGGGTGTTGCGAATCTAAGCGGATCACAGGACTAGGGCGGAGCAAATGATAAGTCCTTATCCGCATATTTGAAGCACTAACTGTTTTACTATCATTGTTATCATTGCGATATAGAAGCAAATGTTGGTAGCTCAGGTTGTTCAGTTGATTGGCTGATTGTTCGCTGAGCTCGGCAGGTTGACTGCAAACGTTTCGTCACCACTCGAGGTGACATCGTCAGTGCGAGTGTATTTAGCAGTGTGGCGCGTACGAAGCGTCGGTGAGTGTGAGTGTGAGTGATCGATCTCCTAGCCGCTAGTCTGAATTTGGATTGTTCGACGAGCACATGACCATAGAAATCGATCTCTGATTCTCACCTCGTAGTGTACGCGCGTGGGACTCTTCGCTTGTCGTCGTTTGATGCAGTAGTCTAGCGCTCTTTTCCGTTAGATTTCTTCTAGTAATTCGGTGATCTTTCATTCGTAGTGCCGTATATATAGCATCTATTTCAACGTGTCGGTTTATTGAACTGTCGGTAGAGTACCATGCTTCCAAGAATTCTCTAGCTTGCCTCGAATTTCCACGGGCTAGGATCTTAACGTTCTCTAGATCGAAGTGGTGGCCTTCTTGGTCTTCATGCATGGAAACTAATGAATGCGGGTCGTGTCTCCGAATGGCCATACGATGGCGTGAAAATGGTCTACGTGAGCCTGCAGATAATAGTTTAAGTAAGAAGATGGAGCTTTTTCTTGCTCTGTGATGCGTATCAATATAAACGAATTTCGAGTTCAGGCAAGCGGTACAGCTAGTGATGAAAGGATAGCCAGTAGTATCCGTATTGTAGAAGGTGACCGGTGGCAATTAGCAGAAGTGATCTTACCGCATGCTGAATTTTCTAATATTTTAAAAACGAATATACCATGCGGCTAAGTGTATTGCGGTAGTTACTTATGAATGCAACCATATCAGGTAGTTAAACTTTAGAAATAGTAATGGTTAGGTTGTTATAAGTTGTGGAGACTCACGTCAACCATGTCCGGAATTGCTCCAGAGTCCACATGAACTCACTAGGTAGTTCTCTCTTGCCAAATCTGCCCATGTACTTCCCCTGAATGGAATTGTTGCATAAATGTATTGCTCTGATTAATGGACGGAAAGGCGACGAAGAACGGTAGCTTTAGGTGGAAGCAAGCAAGTGAACAAGATAGATACATTGATACCTTTTAACTATTTTACAGTCAGCACAAAGCGAACTAACTCGAGCAAAATCGATAGTAGAAACATGAACAGCTCCTTAATGTAGTGTAGGTAAAGTTTATTTTGCTTGGTATGAACTAGCTTGCGATACCCCAGCTGTACAATTCAGTCCATAAACTATGGGTGTTAGAGTCTGAGAATGCTGTGCAATACATATAGCCAATGTGAAATTGAACCAGCTGGGTGGGTGTATGCAACCAGATGAACTTGACAGAGTTACGGGATGAAGCAACTAGCTAGATTACTCTGAACGAATGCAGATGATATGACATTTACGCTTCGCGTCAGTCCTAACTGGTTGATGTTTGGCTGCGCTGGAGTGAGTTTGTTTGACCAAAACAAAAAACGAATCCCAAAGGTGCAGAAACGTGTTTAGTTATGGAAGTGGCCTATTTAGGTCAGCCGAAGCCTCTACAGGCCAGTTACATTTTATTTTCATTGGGATTGCTTTGCTCTTCGATAACCTGGACACACGGTCTGACGCGGGCCAAGGGCTGGTTGTCGCTCGAACCAAAAAGGGGAGACTGATACGTAGTAGTAAGATATCCTGAGGAGATCAAACATCCCGTGAACTTGTCGCAGCAAGCACCACTATACTCCTGAGGTACAGCAATAAACCGGCAATCCGTACTGATGTTTTACCCAATTGACAAAATTTGTGAGGAAAAAGTAGGGATGTCAACGCAGCGTAGCAACCATTACATTAAGAAAAAACATCCGGTTGCAAACACCTCGCTCTTGTTTGAAGATGCGGCCTACTCATGGCTTTCACTATACCGTTGCGAAATCAACCATAGTTCACATACAACTCAGAATTATGGACCATTTAAACATGAGGTTCGGCTAAAAGCCGACCTCAAACAAGCCATTAGTGTGGGTTAGTTATTCTGCCCTGTGATCTCTGGAGGATCACAGAGGCAGACCCCTCAGCTTGGGCGGTCAGCACCAATAAGTATTATCCGTACCCTTATAATTTCTCTAAATTCCAACACATTTATGATATCCAGTGCCTCATATCTTAAGGCCAGTTGTCGCTATGTGCTAAAGATCCTGTGTTGGGGGAACTTTTATTCAACCGCAGATCAGTATCCTCTCTGTGTAGTGAAGTTCAAACATAATCAACAAGATATCATATGAGGTCTCTCAGGCATTGGATCCAACCACTACTGACTGCCGGATAGCCAAATCGCCTGCTGCTGTTTCCGACTACGTTACAAAAATGCAACTTGACTGAACAAAATCGGAGTCAAGGACAGTGTTTTGAAACGACCACTGAGGATTATTAAGTCGCGGCCTAGTTTGTTCCAACACTGACAAGCGGCCAAAAGACACCATGAATTAGACCGGCCTCTACCTTACCTAATGCCTTTACTGCATAGAAACATCCGGTACCCCATTACACAAAACCAATAGCAGTGTCTTTTTACTAGAAACAAAGTTCGAATACTCCGCTTAAAGTATTTCTTAGGAACTTACATAAATTTCTTGCATATACACATGCCTCTCAGCGAGATACATGACTGAACAGATAGCAAGGTGCAACAAAGTATTGAACAAGCGGTCGAAAAATATATTATTACCAGGTAAGTATAGTTGCCATGGAGCTAGTGAACTGATTGTAATTTTGGCATCATAAAGACAATCAGTTATGATATATGAACCGACTACTAACAAACATCTTGAACTCCGAGCGATAGACCCACTTCTTACTCAAAGATGTCAAATATGGTATGCAAGGGTGACTGTTCACATTCATTTAGAACGATGCATATTCCGGCTTGATCTGCCACTGCTTTATCACTATCCTTGGACGTGTTCATTCAATAGTCTGGAGACAATTTGGGCTCAGTTAGTTCGACAACAAACAGCGACTCATGCATTCAAATCGTGGCGAAGCATTGCACAGTAACTCTTAGGTTGCGAACAAATTCGTACTTCTGGCATAGCGGGTTTAGCGTGTGTACGATGAACACAGCCAAGACATTTAGCTAGTGCGGCTTGATAAGGGGTTTTTGAAGGATGGAGTCTAATTGATCCTGTACTAACAAGGATGCGAGCGATAAAACATTGTGGCTACTGCTACTATACTGCATTGAGGTTGAGAATTCGGGAGGAAGGTTTGCAGTGTGAATTGAACGATACAACGAAAACAAGCAAGCAAGGAAAATCGGGGAATCAGTCGTAGCGTAGTTTGCTTACGTGCGTCTTTGCATTCTGCACATAAAGCGGTCACTTTGAAACTGTGCAGGGGTTGGTGCAGGAAAAGGATGGAGGTTGAGATGATAGTCGATGATGCGGCGTCCCACCTCATGCATCTGAACGACTGGTCAGTAAATAAAGTACTTTGGCCTATAGGCCAAATCATTTGATATTTGGAGCCCTATAAGTTCTTACACGGTGGACCATCATAGTTACAAATTGTGTTCCCAGTCACTTCCAAATCCCAACTTATGGAAACTGAAGACTGACTTTGTTTGACGCTCAACCAGAGATCAAGATGGCACGCTGACTCTGGATAGGACTTAAGGCACAAATTAACTAGGCCCAGTGAGTCGGACAGGCATCCAAACAGATGCCATACCTTCATCCTCAGTCTCGGAAATCTAATCTTGAATACACTTACTCACTGAAGTCGTCCAAAGTGAATTCTCGCGAGCAAAACCGAAGATAGCAAGTCCGGTACCACCAAACAGTCAAGGGCGACCAATCCGTAACTAGAAACCATTGGCGAATATCGAATTTTGTTTTGCAAATCAGCAGCGGTTTCTCCACATACTTTTGAGCAACAAATCGGCAGGCTGCATTGTGCACAGAATCTCGCATTAGGTGCAAGAAGTCACCGATTTGATTGTAGCATACGACACCTGAATTGAGAACCAAATATGGTAAATCGACAGAGGTCCGTGTTAAGTACCACATTATTTGTGCGAGAGCACACGAAGTTTGTAACAGCTGAATGGTTTAGAGTGATGAATAACATCAAATAATCAAATTAGGCTTGGGAACGCGCTACCTTTGCTTGGCCACCGCTTGCTGAAGCGAGCTGTGTTTTGGTTGCTCTATGTTGGATAGTGCAAACATCAAGGGGGAATAGGTTAACTTGATAAAAAGAAACAGCTTTATCGATGGGCACCGTTGTAGGCTTCCAGGTTGGTGTCCGAGTGAACCAATCTGTGCTTGCCCCGAGAAGTTACAGGACATGGCATGTAGTTGGCATCATTGAAGTGTCCGCTGTCGTCATGTAGTCGGAGTGCCCGTTTAAAGTGTGCCTGATGCTGAGTTACCTGTGGGGAAGGGTTGAATATGAGGAAGGGCACTGAAAGCCGCAAGGTAGCTTTCTCACTGTTGCCACCTTGTCTTCACAAGTTAACGGATTATATTTGGCTGTGCGTTTTCGACAAGATTTAGATGCTTTGCTCCTGTACGTTTGTTTGGGGTTTCGCTTTCCGATTACGGTTGTATGGCAGTGCTGCGTTACGTTAACTTTTTGATGTGCTGTTATTGATGATGATGAACTCCATGATGTGATCTCCAAAAGGCGTGTTTTGTGCTGCGCATCACTGAAACCAATCCAATACTTTAGCAACGAGCACATGTAGAGTTGAGTTTCAACTATTGGCCAAAGTCCTTGTTAACGACATCACTTAGTTTCTTGTGGATAAATGACGATTTTCTGCGTCTTCAGAATTCAAAGATGTTAAATCCGTTTTTTTACTAATTTACTATTCCTGTTTGTGTGCTAAACTCGTGAGGGTAAGGTACCGGTGTGTGTAAAATAGAACTACAAAGGTAGACATTATTAACTTATCAAATGGAGTACGCTTCGTAGAGACCATAAGGATTGACGAACAACTTTAACCGATACGCGGTGGTGAGCTGAGAAATTGTCGGAAACTCACGACACCGTTGGCGCCTGATCGAGGCAAACCTCGGTGTGCACACGTTTACAGTTCAGTTTGCTTTCATCGTGTTGGGACTAACTAAGTCAGAAGTGAAATGTTCGATTGATTTCGATTTCTTGACCATCACTGTCTGCTAAAAGCCTTTTTTGGGGAATCCATTTTCACCAGTGATTCTCAAACGTGGAGGAGATTAGTTATAACCCTTGTTTCAAAAGTAACACGAAATTGTCTCACTGATTGTCAGACATTTCGTTGCATTGCGTGTTAACAGGTTACCTCCCGCTATGTTGAGTAATGAACCGTAAATCCAACCCCGAATTACGCTAAAGCCAGTCGCAGAAGGCCAAATCGTCATGTTACTAAGAGTGGTTAGCAATAATAAAGAAAAGGAAGAGGTAAAGGAACGCAGAAATTCGAGACGGAACTTCGAGAGAAAATAAGGGTGATGGCATAATTGCCAGATGGAATGGTTAACGTGTAAGCGCTTAAGACAAAATGCTCAAGTACCATTGTAGTTATGCTTCCAATAACTGGCATGGCTAATTTCGTAGGTTTGATCTAGGAAGCCAAAATGTACCGATCATGTCAGGACTGTCGAGCAGTTGCTTTGTACGTATTCCCGTTTTCCTAATTTTACAGATTATTGGTAAAAGGGATTTGGAGTAAATCAGAAAAACAGTTCGTCACTGCTACCCTCGGTTTGACAGATACTGCAACCCGAAAAAGCACCTGACGGCCGTTCCGTACAGTGAAGTCTTGTCGGCCGTGCACACTTCATATAGTGACCTTGATCTCTGGCTGAAAATTGAGGGATTGTGCGTTGTACGCCCTCACCAGAGATGTGAAGTACACACTGTTGGCGGGTCCACGAAAGACGATATGGACAAATACTGCATTTCCGGAGGTTCAGTGTCTCTCCGGCTGCATGTAGCTGTGGTGAAGCAACTTCGTTTGTTGGGCACTCTGAAGCTGCGCCCGCGCGGGCTAATTGTTACCAAACAGTACACGCCGAGGCAGCTAGTTGACAGTCCCTCGAAGGACTTAAGTTGCGTACCTGGTGCAAGCACAGTGGGCGATTCAAAGCAGCGCAAGATGTGCCAGCGGGTTTTTGTATTACTCCTGGGGGTCTCCCGACAGCACCAGTTGTCAGAGCAGACCAGTTCGTGAATGTCCTCACTACGCATTATTCATAGCCTTGAACTGCCTAGGGATATAAAGAGAAGATTTCAACTTGGTGCTGATGCTTATAGCAAGCTGCCAGTGCGTGGGAGCAGTTGTTTCAACACTCAACGAAGTGTTTAGCTATGATGAAATCATTCATAGCAAGACGGAAGCTAGCTTGGATTTGACTGATTCTACATTCTGGAGAAACGGCATATCACCTCAGTGAGATGTGTTTGGTCAATCTGATGGTTTGTACAAGGCCTTTAATCTGGCTGCTTGATAGGTGGGGCTATCTGGTCATCATACACCCGAGAATTCCAAGCAATTCAGAGTAATTCGAATTAACCGAAACGCACTGCGGTTCGGTCTTTTGTCGGGCCCATTGGATAGAATCAGTCCACCACCAGTCCACAAGGTGAAGATTATGATGGTCGAACCCAGAGAAATGTTTTCACTACCCGAAATCCATTTAGCGCATGTGATGACTAAGATAAGGGGGGGCCAGGGAAATACAACCGATAGTACGGCTATAGCGCAAACACATTCGATACGTCGATGAATTCAAGCTGATATTTAGTTTGGATGCTTAGTAGCATCAGGATGGCTAGCGAACATGATGCTCGATCTTGCCTTCTGGATCAGGAAACTAAACGTATAACATGCAATGCTTTTTCTCAATGTGAACTAAGATGAACCATATGGAATTGATGAAGCGCGTTTAAGGCTATGACACCACAAAACAGACTGCGAACGTAAGGTAGTTAATACAGAAGCTAATGAAGATAGGTCAGTTGCTGATTAGTTAGAGGCTCGCTTGGTAGGGTGTGGTTAGTTTACAACAAACATTTCGCCAAACCGGAAGTGAAATTACCGACAACTTAACGTGTAACGGAACGACACAAAAGTACGATAAGAAGACGACGATTTCATATTGTCTCCTCGGTACCAATCACAATAACCGATATGCATAGATATAGCTAACAGTGGGTGTAACCAGACAAGCTTAAAGTGTAAAACAAATGGCGGATGTTCACACCTACGTCCAAGGCAGCTTTAGGCTGACAAATAATTGTTTCTGAACACACAAGGCTGACTTAATCCGGCTTATAGCGACAGCCTCAGCAAACCGAAGGAAGCGGGGATTAGTGTGACGTAACACAACTTTAAACGCTGAGCCCAGCTCTATCTGGTGACCCGAGTCTAATAGGTGTTTGCCTATCGAGGAAGATTGATTACAAAGTCCCCTTTAGAACGTTGAACGGCTTGTTTATAGAAGCCCTATTTGAGAACTTTTTTGACCAGTTTACGGAGCTCTAACCAATCAGCCCTAATAAGCATAGTTGGTTTAGAAACAAGTTAACCAATATCGCCCATGTGGTGAAAACTATGCCAATTAATGAATAATGTGCCATCATAGCTCGACATTTTTAGGCCTTACATGAACGACGAGCTAAGGATGTAGTCGTAATGAAACCAGATAAGGTTTCAGGAGTGGTAATCATGAACAACACCGAATACGATGAGAAGATGTGTGCCATACTCAACGATGCGAGTAAATTCGCACAGCTCACGAAACTGGGGGGATATAACCAATGTCGAAACGCATATAGTTCGTCACTCGAAATTGCTTCTTCTCCACCTCGTGATAGACTGTGATATATTTAATAGTTTGAAGCCGAGTGCTAGCACTATCCCACAGTTGTATGTCCCCAACGACACATAAGAGTCAAGTGCCACTCAGGCCAATCCTTTCAACGATGAACGCGCCCCAGCATAAACTTGCTCGTTGGTTAGTGAAGTTGCTATCTCCGTTGAAACAACAGTTCAATCCGTACAGTCTTAAAGACTCGTTTGAACTTATCGATGAACTGAATGAACTCAACCTGTCAGACAAAGTCATATGTTCCTAGGATGTAGAATCCTTATTTACCAACGTGCCGCTACATCAGACGGTTGATTACGGGTGCGAATTAGCTGAAAACGGTGGCTGTTCGCTACTAATTCAGACTGAATTGTTAAGAGAATCTCTACTAGTGTGCAAGATGAATGTGGATTTTCACTTCCGGAATACATCCTACCGTCAAATTAAAGGCGTACCAATGGGTAGCCCATTAAGTCCTGTGCTCGCTGATTTCTTCATGCCATGTTAGAAAGAAGCATTTCTACGGAAGTAGCCCAAGTGCCCTACTATAAACGATATGTCGATGATATCTTGACTTTCTGTTCGCCAGGGCAGCAACTCTCACATTTGGTAGAACGTCACAATGGGGCCCATGCTTACTTACGGGTTACATGCGAAATAGAACAGTACAATTCTCTGCCATACCTGGACATACTCATAAGTCGCAGGGAGGATGGATTGATTAAGAGGTCTATTTACAGAAAATCAACTTGGTCCGGTCAATACCTGCACTTCACCAGCTTCACACGATTGCGGTACAAACGGACACTTGTGAAGACTCCAGTTAGTCGTGCCAGCCGAATTTGTTCGGCCGACAGTCTGGACGATGAGATAGTGTTAATTACAACAACACTAATGGAGAATGGCTACCCTCGAAGATTTATCGAGAAACACAGCCAACCGCGAGGGCCAAGTGACTTGGTGCACACGGCAGCCAAGAAGAAAGTGTATATCGAGTTGCCTTTCAAAGGTGACTTAGCCACGCTGAAGACAACTAGGCGTATAATTTCGGCTACACAAGGAAGTTACTATGCTGCACAAGTTGTCGTCATCCATCGAACCCGAAATTTTCCCAAACCTCCAACGAAGGAAGCTCAATCTATTGGGGCCAACTCACACTGTGTATACCAATTTGTAGGTGACTGCGGAAACAGTTCCATAAGCAGAACTAATAGAACGCTGACTCCCCGAGTAAAGGAACTTGTACCAAGATGGGTTCAACGTGAAGTTGCTCAGATTGCCTACCCTCATCAGATCCCATGTTCGCGCAGAATGCCGGCTACCTCGATAGGCAAACACCTATTAGACTCGGGTCACCAGGTAGAGCTGGGCTCAGCTTTTAAAGTTGTGTTACGTCACACTAATCCCCGCTTCCTTCGGTTTGCTGAGGCTGTCGCTATAAGCCGGATTAAGTCAGCCTTGTGTGTTCAGAAACAATTATTTGTCAGCCTAAAGCTGCCTTGGACGTAGGTGTGAACATTCGCCATTCGTTTTACACTTTAAGCTTGTCTGGTTACACCCACTGCTAGCTATATCTATGCATATCGGTTATTGTGATTGGTACCGAGGAGACAATACGAAATGCATGCATCTACCAGCCTTCGTGTTCTTTCTGTGCTTTTCAATTTTTTGTATGGATCTAACTGCCTGAGGTACATTAGTAGTTGTGGTATCCCAGGTTATCTTTGCCATAACATCTTGCCTCGATAAAGAAACAAGAGGACGCCGATTACGAATCTTTGTCTGAGCTTCTCAAACGAAGCGTCGTTTCCCAATCTCGATCTGATTTTTTGGTTGAGGTACTCGATCATTACGGATAATGGCCATTCTGATTCCTCTGAGGGTGAGAGCTAAATGTTCCGGCCGTGTGCTTGAGGATGGAGACAATGATGATGAGGGGAACTGCTACGTCGCAGCGTATAAGTAAGCGAAGTACTGAATATCGCTTGTAGTTTATTGATCATCTAGGTTGCCTGTAGAGCACATTTTGCTTTGGTTGATCACGCACGATTTCCTAGAGACAGTCTAATCTACCTCTTCTCACTCAAATTTAAAACAGAACAGTAAACACTAAGTGTTGGCTTGTCCCTAGCTGGGCTACGTGCACCGCACGTAAAATGTCGGTGGTCAGACTTGATCCTGTCAATAATTTTACAGCCCATCCGGTGGACATAGTAGACTAATGTTCGAGAGGAGGGGTTACACTCTGAAGACCATTTTACATGTGTATCTTAAGGTTGGCCTAAGGCATGTCACGCTATCCTAGCTCCGGTGAAGGACCCCACTTATCATGAGAGCAAAAATAAGAAGGTGCTGCACACGGTTGCCCCACTCGCGATTTTTGGGTCAACCAATAGAAGATGGGCTCTGAATAAACGGTCATTGCCTAAAGCTTGTACGATCGACTCGAATAACCTAAAGATAACTGTCATTTAAGGAACAGCTGATAGTTCTGCTACTTACGATCGCCTCTCCAAAGGTTAAAAAGACTGACATTTATGTGATTTTATTTCGTACCGAGTTGAACTAAAGATTGTAATTAGCTTACCATGAATTACGTGTGGATACAAAATTTTTAGGGATTTATTCGCTCCAAAGCATATTCTGTGGCTAGCAATAAGGGACGACTAATATTTCGTTTTTTCTTATGTGGTTTTTTGAAGCGTGAAGAAAAGCATGAACTTCAAACGCGGCGTAGGATGAAGGGAAGTCAAAACAATAAGATGGGTGAAAGCTACATCCCGTATTCTGGTTACACTAGTGTAAAGTTTACTGTCCTCTAGCGAAATGGAGGACACGGCTTGTTTCCCACCTAAAGGTATACCCTTAGGGACAAACGGATCGCCTACCTCTCCCTCTTGATTTGGCCGCGGGTTTCACTATCCACACGTTGTTGACTCCGTCCAAATCGAGCTGCGGACGATATCTGCGAAGTTCCATGCAGATTTTGTGGCACAAGTTTCGGTAGTTTCTAAGACCTTTTAGTATGTGCGGATTTCTAGTTTAAAGGCAGATGAACATTGAAAACACTCAATGGGACATATTAATGGAAAACAATGAATTTAACTCTTCGTAAGTATGAAGCTGATAACAAACCCTAATAATGTTGTGTCTATGATCTTAAGTAAAGACAATTGCAAACTGTTATAAACCAGACGCTGAGTCAGAAGCGTTGATAGCGCTGCTATGACCACAGAAAGGTGTCAGTGACGAATCCTTGGAGATGAGTTGGTCGTCGGCCGACAATCGGTTAAGACCGTCATTTGTCTTGCACTACTCGCTGTTAATCTGGTGTAATCACTGTGGCTTTAGGCGACAGGATCCAATTACACATTATCCCGGCGCCATTTTGAGCAGAAAATAACTAAGTTGATTGAACGCTCCCAATTTCCTCCGTTTCGAGTATTTTACACTGGAAGTAACTTAACAGGCATAGTGGTTTTCCGAAGCAACTCAACGGCGTCTTTGAATTCTGTTTTAAGCTAATTCTTTATTTTATCTAATAATCTGTAGATGATTCTAACTTTATCCACAAGGCTTTTGGGGATGCGAGAAGCATACTTGTAGTCCAACCTTTAGAGAATCGGGAACTGTAAACCCAAGAAAGGGAGTAGAACCAGCCATATCAGATGCTGGTAAATTAAGACAGACAACGATCGTTGCATGAACTCTAATCATGTTCACATGGTGCTAGGGCACCGCAACACAAGGATGGAACAACTGGGCGCATCAGAAACAGCCACTTAGTCAGCATACCAGTGAAAACAACCAATAATAAACGATAAAACTTATCATACGGTAATGTCGCCACTCATTGTATGTGTGTACGGTGGACGGCGAAAGCCAGTTGGGGGAGGGAGTGGAAGTGCGGCTCACAGCACATGTGCAGTTGAGGTGCAAACTGAGCCTTATCATAATGGATTACCTGCCTTAGGACTCAGTGCAGTCCTCCGATTCTCCGAACCAAGTCATTCATGTGCTTTCCAAACACAACAAGTGGAACTAAGTGCTATTGAAAACGTACGCGCTGTGCAGCTGTGCAAGATGTGTGAACGACTACTGATCGGCGCTGTAGACGGTGACCGAGGTACATTCAGAACTTGTTCACGGATGATCATCACTTAATCAGTGAAGGCACCAGACGCAAAGGGTGAAAAGGAAATTTGATCGAATGCAACCAACTTCTGTAGGCTCCGGTGATCGGAGTAGCAGTGTCACGAAAGCACGTAGAGCGTTGGTGCCCACAGGATCATCGCTAAAGTATTTCACATGTGTAAACTGGTATCATGTAGACGGCACATTTGTCAGTGCTCAAAACAAGCTCCTACGGCAAGAAATACTCAAATTATAACCCTCGTATCCATGGTTCATTGTGATTTTAGAGCAATCTGCATAGTGAAAACTGATTAATTATACTGATATGACTAGAGCAAAAGTAACTGTATGCACAGAGCACTTTATCATTGGAAGAGGCAGCAGTGTTAGAGAAAAATTAGAAGTCTAAATTGCAGGATATAAAATGTTATTACATAACTTGCTCAGTTTGATTGATCAATGGAAAATACTAGGAAATTAGACAGCGTCTTCCTGCTCCAGACAAAGAACTGCACTGCCGTGAATTAGCTGCGTACTTTCCGTATCCTGTCTCTTTTCGAATCTAATGTTCATTTGTCGTTAATCTTTAAGCCGAAATATGATATAATGTGCAACTTTGAATCACTCGTTTGTGGTGAACTATTCTATTCTGTTGAACCACCCTAAGTGAAAGCATATCTCGCATGCGTCTAAACGCTGACCGGATGTACCTTTGAGGAAACTAGAGGCCAATCTGCAACGAGAGTAAACCAGCAAGGCTTGCAAATATTTACACCAATCACTGTAATTCAGTTCTCCTGACTATCTTTTCAAACGAAACCATGTGCCTGTTTACTTATATTCATCACCACGATTTCAGCAAATTATCACGGTGTAGACTGGGAAATTAATTCGGCTTTCCGGAATTAGTTGCTTATGTGCATTACATCTTTCAAACGGGCCATCGTTGCTACGTTCTGACGCCGATGGTAAGGAGACATTAACAATTATAAACGACTATAAAAATACATCTAAGAGGAAAATTCAGGTAGCTCAATGTAATGCAAACAGACATGGGGATTTCGGGGTACCAAAGCGAGTGGATCTTTGTATCGCAGATGTTCTTCGGATGCGCAGCTACCTACTATTGACTCTACCTGAACGCCTCACACATGAACATGAACAATCATTTAAACCGGTTAGAAAAGCGTGTGTTTAACAAGTCCCAAAGTGTGACCGGAGTGAGGAATATAAAACCAAAATTAAAAACGAGAATGGGACAATGGTTTATAAGTGGGTAAAAAAGTACAGGATCAGCATGTCCCTTAGGTTGGTAGGAGAAGAGATCGTAATATAAATATTACATAAATGAACCAAATAAAATACGCATGAGCAAAGTGATGGAGTAATTGGGTTAAGAAGGATTGTTACAAGTGTGAGATAGTACAGACAAAATTAACTAAACAGTTGTGTTGGTTAATAGTCATAGCAACTAAAAGAAGATTGCTTACCTCTCTGCACAAAATTACGTGCGTCACTGTGTCATAATTCCAAAGTGACTGGTTAGCCAGAAGAAATTCAGAATATTCGTTCAACTAACGAAGTGTAGAGCGTAAAATTGGATACCCAATCATTTTTTGAAAACAGCTAATGTGTGGGCACAGATAACTGAGTTTGAAAGAGCATTCCAGGGTTAGCATACCCGAAGGGGAAAGTCCTTTCGGTAACAATCCAGACGACTGTGTTGTTGAATCAGTTTCAGGCTATTGCCTTTGAGGTTGGTGCTCGGGCTGAGTTGCAGTAGGTGGCGACATACATGAGTGGGGTCGTTCAATATCTGGTAGGCAAAAATAAAGTCCCCACGTAGCCGCCGGTAGCGTCCATTGAATATCCCGAATGTCTTCAGTCGTTGCTGGCACAAAAGATTGCACTATCCATTGACAAATTTTGTTGCTCGACATTGGGGCTTTTCGAGCGCTACATGCTCATGCTTTGGCCATGGGTGCTAAGCTTGAATTGCGTATTCGACGTGCGGACGCACGTAGACATTGAGCATCAGAGAGAAGGCTGATGAATTCAAACTTCCTACTGCTCTTGGCAAGAGACCATGCTGGTTAGCTCATTTTGAAGCGGAATCTGGCTGTCTGGGGCAACCGAAGCCGTCCTGTACCAGCACACTGAGGCCACTTTCCTGAGGGCTTGTCTGCAGATCGTGCGCCCCAAGTTTGTAGAGATAGGCGTGTTTATGGCGGATGTGGACAACGAGGCACTTGTCCACATTCAGTGGCTGTGCATTCCTCCCCGACAAATACCAGGCCTCATCTGGGTCGCGCTGTGGGATCTCGTGGTTGTCCATTTCCTTGATCACCCGCCAAATTCTAATCTCCTCCTCGAAAAGTGAAAAGTTTGCTTCCATAGCTCTCGCTAGATTGTTGAGGAAAAACTAAGAACAAGCGAGGTCCAAGTACCGAAACCTGTGGTACGCTCCACCACTCGGATCGGGTTGGATAGGAAATACAGGGGAAATTCGGGTTTTAGTTGGCTCATCTAGTCATACAAACATGGACGCAGATCTCCTCCACGCTGCGTTACGGAGATAGCTGGTGAGCATATTGTTTGGTCCGAGTTATTTCGTCTCCCGATTTTAATGGACTATAAACTATGTGCTTTATTGTCAAGCCAACAGCAGTAAACGCCAAAACTTGCATAGCCTTTGTAATTATCTATAACACCACCCTTTCTTACTTCAAACCCCTAGGCACCACCTTATATGTCAGTTACTGCAAACGCTAAGGGTCAAGTCACAAGATTAGTTGGACACAGGATTTCACCGTGACCGAGGGAATCGATGGTGTCTGCAACTCACCATGCGCTGAGCGTCGTCAAGTTTGAACTTGCACCCAGCTGATTGTACGAGCAACATTAACCCTTTCTCCACCCGCGGACCATTTGTTTGATGACAATTTGAGAATCGTTTATAAGATTGCATGCATACTCCACCTATTCCTCAAGATAGTTATGGTGAACATATGCATTGATCAGCTGTTGTCATTAGTGTGAAAAGATGACATTTACCAGGGTTGAAACATTTTTTTCTACAGTCCACACTGAATGGGTGCAACACACGCGTGCATAATTCATGAGAGAAAAAGAAAAATAGATTCAACCGGAAAGTTGGGTATAAGGAAATATGAAGCAGTCGAAATTCAATCCAAATATTTAATAGGGCTACTGGCCAAATACCTTAATCTTTTCCAAGCTGTAGTGCAAGGCACACACATGGGGTAAAAGAAAGTGTGGAGGAAATGCTGGAATTCCCTAATTATGACAAGACATTATTAAAACCAGTCTTGTATTGAAAGACAGCGTGTTCTTTGTAAATGAAGGCTTCATATTGTTTACAGTGGGATTTGCTCTTCCCGTCTTTCTTGAATGGACAAAAAGAGCAGCGCTTTTATTTTTAAGCATCATAGTTTTTGATATCTTTGCAGAGAGATTTGTGGGATGATTAGGGCTGGCTGCTGGAATTTCATGACAGTTATGATGCTTTATCTCACGGGATCTTCATGAGTTAGCACTGCTGCCATTTGCTCGATCTGACTAGTTGTGAGAGAGCTTTCGACATTTATATTGAATCCTTGGCGGTTATCTTCGTGAGACAGCGTGTTTGATGGGTAGTTGTGCCTGAAGACTACTATCGTTGCGATGGATGACAAAGCCAGGATGTTAAAGAAGACCACAAATGGTCATCTGTTGGTCTTGCGCTTGATAGTGAAAACTTTTGTTATTCAGTCCATGGCATCAACCCCAGCTTTGGTGCTCAGTGGTTCAATGGTGTATGACGGGATAAAAAGCATAACTTTACAAGACGCACAGGATGGATGTGCAAAAGAAAATTAAAATCAAAATGTTCCAATGTGGAAT